ATCATTGTATGATGTATTTCCATAAAAAAAAAAATCTTGTAGGTTGGCTTGGCCGACTCGCTTTATTTAGCATGAAACTTGTTCCACATGGATGTTAGTGGGAGGCTCTTCCTCCAAGGAGCTGGAGCATCTCAACTCTTCCAGTGGTCAAAACTGATCGTTTTCCATTCCTTAGTGTTTGACCCCTGCGTGTGTAGCGCTTCCCAGAGACTATGATAGTGATATTGATACAGAAATATAAAAGTGTTGTGGTAGGCTCTGTGTTTCCTCCTCAGTGGAAAAATTTCTTCATGAATATAAGATGATTATAAACAATGTGTGTTGCCAGAGCGAGCTCCGCCACTACGCTACTTAACATCTGCTCAACCTTTCTGTAATGCAGTCTCAGTAGCTGGGATGCTGCTGCTGCTGCTACTGATTCGGCGGCGGCTGCTGCGGCGGCTGCTGCTGCTGCTTCTGCTGCTGCTGCGCCTGCTGCTTCAGCTGCGGCGGCTGCTGCTGCTGCTGTGGGGGACAAGCACATGAACCACTATTCTAGCACACGGTGAACTCACTCTCTCACTCTCTCTCTCTCTCTCTCTCTCTCTCTCTCTCTCTCTCTCTCTCTCTCTCTCCCTCTCTCCCTCTCTCCCTCTCTCCCTCTCTCTCACACACACACACACACACACACACACACACACACACACACACACACACACACACACAGAGCACGGATTTATGGAAGGCAAATCCTGTGTCACAAACCTACTGGAGTTTCATGATAAAGTAACAGAAAGACACGAGAGAGAGGGGTGGGATCATTGCATCTTCTTGGACTGCAAGAAGGCCTTAGACACAGTTCCTCACAAGATATTAGTGCAGACGCTAGAGGATCAGGCGCTTATAACAGGAAGGGCACTGCAATGGACCAGAGAATACCTGACAGGGAGGCAACATCGAGCCATGGTACGTGATGAGGTATCACAGTGGGCACCCGTGACGAGCGGGGTCCCACAGGGGTCGGTCCTAGGACCAGTACTATTTTTGGTACATGCGAATGACATGATGGAAGGGATAGACTCAGAAGTGTCCCTGTTCGCAGATGATGTGAAGTTAATGAGGAGAATTAAATCAGATGAGGATCAGGCAGGACTTCAGAGAAACCTGGACAGACTGGACACGTGGTCCAGCAACTGGCTACTTGAATTTAACCCCGCCAAATGCAAAGTCATGAAGAGCGGGGAAGGGCACAGAAGACTGCAGACGGGGTATAGGCTAGGTGGCCAAAGACTGCAAACCTCGCTCAAGGAGAAAGATCTTGGGGTGAGTATAACACCGAGCATGTCTCCGGAAGCACACATCAACCAGATAACTGCTGCAGCATATGGGCGCCTGGCAAACCTGAGAACAGCTTTCCGATACCTTAGTAAGGAATCGTTCTAGACACTGTACACCGTGTACGTCAGGTTCATACTGGAATATGCAGCACCAGTTTGGAACACACACTTGATTAAGCACGTCAAGAAATTAGAGAAAGTGCAAAGGTTTGCGACAAGGTTAGTTCCGGAGCTAAGGGAAATATCCTATGAAGAAAGGTTAAGGGAAATCGGCCTGACGACACTGCAGGACAGGAGGGTTAGGGGAGACATGATAACGGCATACAAAATACTGCGTGGAATAGACAAGGTGGACAGAAACAGGATGTTCCAGAGAGAGGGCACAGAAACAAGGGGTCACAATTGGAAGTTGAAGACCCAGATAAGTCAAAGGGATGTTAGGAAGTATTTATTTCTTCAGTCATAGAGTAGTCAGGAAGTGAAATAGCCTAGCAAGTGAGGTAATGGAGGCAGGAACCATACATATCTTTAAGATGAGGTATGATAAAGCTCATGGAGCAGGGAGAGAGAGGACCTAGTAGCACTCGGCGGGGCCAGGAGCTGAGTCTCGACCCCTGCAACCACAGTTAGGCGAGTACAATTAGGTGAGTACGTACACACACACACACACACACACACACACACACACACACACACACACACACACACACACACACACACACACACACACACACACACGCGCGCGCGCGCACACAAACAAACACACGCATACAAAACAGGCCAAGTGTCTAGTCGACATGTGCCTAAGACAAAATGATAACTAACAAACACACACCTACACTCCTCCCTCTAGTACACCCCCCTAAACACATACACATGCAGACACAGGCGGCGCGCGCGCGCACACACACACACACACAGACATATACAAACACGCATACATACTGTATATTCAGAAGCATTATCATCAGTTTGGCTTCCGCTACATAATGGACAAGCAAGACAATGCTCGGCTTACAACCCCCCCACCATCACCTCCTGAGCTGAGTGAGAAATCAATATTCTGCTATCAGCATATATACAGTGGAGGAGACACCTCCCACCCACCTAAATGTTCAACCGATAACCCTGCTGGGAAATACCCCGAGAGTGTAAATAAACTGCTGTACCACTCTGGGTTTGTCTCGATATTACTGAGAATTCCATTTATACATTGCATTGGATTCAGCGTATATGTGTAGCGCTGGTTTTGGAGGAGTTAACCAATGTATACACTTGTCATATCTGTGACAGGAACGTATGATACTTGAATCGAGTTCAGGGAGATAGAAGCAGGTCCATGTACTTATGCTCGCTGTTCATATTGCTTATAGGCAAATTATGAATTGTGAGTGTTTATGTATGTTTATATATGTATATGTTTATATAAGTATGTATACGTTTATATATGTATGTCGTGCCGAATAGGTTAAACTTGCGATTTTGGTTTAAATAGCAACGTACCTCTTGCCGAATAAGGCAAACGAAAATTTGTATATGTAATAATTTCGTAAAAAATCATTCTGAACCTAACGAAAAAAATATATTTCATTTTGTTTGTTTATTATTAAATTATTGTAAACTTATCTAAAATGTATTTAGTTGGATTAGGCTAAATTAAATTACGCTTGTTAAAAAGGTTAGGCAAGTTTTCTAAGGTTCTTTTGTTACAAAATTATTATTTTTTACATTAACATAAATGAAAAAAAATATATCTTTAAACGTATAAGAGAAAATTTTAGAAAGGACTTGATTTTAAACGAGTTCTTGCCAATTGACCAAGAGTTAATTAATATATATATATATATATATATATATATATATATATATATATATATTATATATATATATATAATAACACAGCAAGCAAGCACACAAAGAATAATACATGTAGAAAGATGGAAGATATTTTTGCTGTAAACTAAGTAGAAAATATATTATGACTATATAGTTACGAGTGAAAAAAGTATATATAACAACAAGATAGCAGAGATCTACAATGTAAGAAATGTAATGATTCCCTTTAATAATAATGATAATTCTGAACATTACCTCATAAGCAGAGGCCTCAGTACTATGTTTGATCAGTGATGATTATAACTTTACACTGGCAAAATACTGAGTGTAATAGCTGAACATATTGCCCTTTATGATTTTCATCCTGGAATATTGAGCCTAGGAATTTTAATCAAAGAGCTGTGGCCCCTGAAATTTACGGCAGAATATTGATAGCTCTTAAATATCGCTACATATTCCTGGGTAATATTTCTCCCTCGATAAAGAACCGATTTATATTATATACAATAACCCCGTTTATTCCTTCACTGACAATTATGTTACACTAAACAGTGTTATGATTATTATTATTATTTATCAATATTACCTAGATGATTATTACTGTAATATGAATATATCCACTAATAATTATGCCTCCCTGTGTAATGTAAACGGAATTTATAGACTATGCTAATGAATAGATTGTATATATTAAAACGATTATGAATATATATGCACTAATGAGTAAATAATTAATATAATTGCACCTTGCAAAATATTGTGCCTATAAATTAAAAATTAATGTCAGACGTAACATACATACACACACACAAATATAATATATATATATATATATATATATATATATATATATATATATAATATATATATATATATATATATAATATATATATATATATATATATATATATATATAAATAAATTATTTAATTGAATGGAGGTTCACATCATGAATGAGGTAAAATGAATTTTTTTCCTTAATGTGTGGAGCCAAAATAATTAACCCATATAATACTTTGCTCGTACGGTTAAATGACCCCACTATGGCCCCCTATAATATTGCTTTCGAGTTTGTGAACAAAAATTGTCTGGCTAAATTGTGTCCGTGTCAAACCTGTGTTACCCAGTCTGTGTCCAATGTAGCGTCCATACCTTGCTCTCTGTGTGTATCTTCATATATGGCTGTCTATATGTATTTCTGTATTCATGGCTAAACATATGTACCTCCATATAGCTCCACATATGGATCTCCATACACATGATCCCACATATAGCTCTGGGACTTTGCTAGAAATTAACTCTGAAACACCTCCTCAAAACCACATTTAAAATACGCTTCACAAGGCCTTGTATTATAAAAATTTTTTTTTTTAAATGTCAGTGAAAGGCTGTTGATCCAGATTATTATTATTATTATTATTATTATCAAGGGGGAAGCGCTAAACCCGGAGGATTATACAGCGCCTGGGGGGGGATGTGGAAGGCATTCAGGCTTAATTCGGGGAACTGGAGCACAGATCCAATTCCCTAAATCAAGAGCCCCTCACCAACATCAAGGAACCTTCCTTGAGGGGTGTTGATCCAGAGATTTAGAGGTACTCTCCTCTTCCTCGAATGCACGGTGATTGCTTCCCATTCCCCAGGCACTGTGTGGCACTAAGTGTTTTAATGACACAGATTTAAGCATGTAAACATCAACAAGGGAGGAGTGAGTGTATTTACTTCATGGTGCCGGGTCCCTAATGGTCATAATAATGATTACACTTCTCTTTTTGAATAACCTCCATACATTGTTTTCTCTGATAACTTACCCTACTGGGATTAATTCTCGAATTAATCCATTTGCAGGCAAGGGTGAGGTGAGAGGAGAGAGCGGCGTGGTGGAGGGCTCACCCTCGTCAGGTGGAGGATGGGGAGAGTCTCAGCATCGTCGGGAGGACGAGGATGTGTGGGCGGCTGCCTTGACCCTCAACACTGCAGTGCCTCCTGACCTTCAGGTGCAGAACAACACAGAGATCCTGGCGCAGGTGGGAGGCGAGGCCACCTTCACCTGCTTCACCCATCACCTCTCCGATGAAATGGTGAGCTCCTCTGCGGAACTGTCAAGTCACTTTTGTAAGTCACTGAACCCATGAAGGTAATTCAACGCAAGTGGTAGAGGTTCGATCCCCCATACGCAAACTGAAGGTAATATTTTAAGTACCTCTTAAAAATAGGAATCTATAAGAGTTTTGCGCTATTATTAAATCTGCTAAATTTGCGCTAATATTAAATTCGAAAATAATCGAACTTAATGATATTGGTATATTACGGTAATTTATCCCGCCCTGCGATTAGAAGACTAAGGATCGAGCCCCAACTACTCCTCACTCTGAATGGCCCACATGTGTTCAGCACTTAGTACAAAACCTAATGTAAACTCGATACATGTATATTTTTAAGAAGGAATATGTATGTCAGTGACAGGCCTGGCGTGGGCTAGTAGGCCTTCTGAAGCATTATTCTTACGAACGATCACGTACAAACTCCGATATTTATGTTCAAATTAAAAGTCGCCAATATCTACGGTCCGTGGGAAATTGTACCTGGTCCGGTTTTATTAGGGTACAAAGTCGTATTCAGTTATTGTGTTTAACAGCAATATTTCAACGTTCAGTGGAACGTAAACAATAGAACAGATGCTGTCATCTGTCAGGAAAATAAATTTGAAAAAATAGGAGAAACGAATGTTGCAAATATACTCTCATACCTCTCTCTCTCTCTCTCTCTCTCTCTCTCTCTCTCTCTCTCTCTCTCTCTCTCCTCTCTCTCTCTCTCTCTCTCTCTCTTCTCTCTCTCTCTCTCTGTCTCCCCCTCTCCTCTCCCCCCCCTTCCCTCTCCTCCTCCCTCTCCCTCTCCTCTCTCTCCTCTCTCTCTCTCTCTTCTCTCTCCTCTCTCTCTCCTCTCTCTCTCTCTCTCTCTCTCTCTCTCTCTCCCTCCCCCTTCCCCTCCCCCTCCCCCTCCCCCTCCCCTCCCCCTCTATCCCTCTTCCCTCGCTTCCCCCTCCCTCCCCCCTTCTCCCTCTCCCCCTCTCTCTGTCTCTACCACGACCTGAAAGATATAGATAGCGTGAAATGCCAAGCATTGGGGGCAAGGAGTATAGATGGAAGCTAAATGCACAGAACTACAGGGATGTTAGGAAATATTAATTCAGCCTTACGGTGGTAAATAGGTTGAATGACATAGAGGAAGTAGTTCCGGGAGTTACCTTTGGTCACTTCCGGAGGCTACCGCCCCAGCGACCCGGTTGCAGACCCGGTCTCTTAATTGCTAGCCTAATCGATGAAGCTGTCAGTGCTCGCCGCCCGCAGTACAGCATATGCACCAGAACCCGGCTGATCAGGAACTGTTTTGAGGAATGTGTCGAGTTCCTTCTTCAAGACAGCTAGGGGTTTCCTGGTAATCACCTTTAGGCTTGACGGGAGGATCTTGAAGAGTCATGGTCCTTTAATACTCTTTGAATTTTCTGAGTGTTCTCATCGCTTCCCTGCCTTTCAGTGAAGGCATAATGCACCGTCTGCCCAGCCTCTTGTGTTCATTAGTAGTAATTTCGTTTCGGTGTGCAGGTTTGGATCCAGTCCCTCCATTATCTCCCAGATATAAATTGTGATATATATTTCTTTAATAGGAGATACGATAAAGCTTTTGAAGCAAGAGAAAGTAGACCTAATAGCGACAAGCGAAGACGCAGGTCCAGGGAGCTCTCAATAGACCTCAAGTCGGACCGAAATAAACCATACCACGGGTGGGGTTTGAACCCGCTAGCTGACCCAGTGGCTAACACGACGGTCTGGAGTTTTGAGACTCTCTGACCGCCGGTTCAAACCCCACCTGTGGTATAGTTTGTTTGCAATCGTGTCATTACGATTTCGTGAGTCACGTCTCGGATCGAAATGTCTTCATAAGCTTCTCTCTCCTGTGTGCGGGATATTTATTGTTTCAGTCGCGGTATTGTGCCTTTGTTCTTTATAGGCGTGTACACAAACACGCACGCGTGCATGCATACCCACCGACCCATCCACTAACCAAGCAACCAACGTACACTCCAACTCCTCAGCACGCGCCAGCCACCAAACAGGTCCCTTGCCACCAATACTCGTAAAAGATTTCCCAGAAGAAAAATTAAAGCGGACAAAGCTGTTACCATAATTACCAACAAATGGAATTATTTTACCTGTATCTTCTTGATGTCCTTCCAGGTAATTACTCAGTTTCTCGCTCTTACCTTCGCTAAAAGAAAAAAAAATCTATAGCCATTAATGTATTAATCTATTGATTGCCGATAGTGAGAGTTCCTCGTTTAAATAATATTTCTGTTCTTCCCGCTTCGCTTTATTTCTCACTCTTACTTGGTTACCAGTGTTTCTGCTCTCTTGTTTATTTCTGTTTTTTTTTTTTTGTCAGTGATAATTTGCACCCTCAGCTTGACTGACTGCGAGAGTAGCCCACTACCACTCCTTGGATCGTACACTCATTGACCCATACGAGCTCAGAGCTTCATTTATATATAAGAATGTTGTATCTCTTTTTAATCTATTTCTGACTTATTTGTACCCATTTGGTTTTTTTTTTACTCTAGGAATATTTCTCTTTTACTTTCATCCCCAGAGGCTAACAAGCTCTTCCCAGCCCAGATAACTTTGACCTCCCGTGAGCTGGGAGATGAAGATCTAAGAGGACCTGACATGTTATTCTTTGGTCTCTGTCGTGTCTTGGCAGCAAAGTTAATGACACAGAGGGCCATAACAGTCAAATATATGAAGGGACATAAGAGTTGGAGGCTGGTGAGTGATCTAATGGACTATCCTTCTCGTCCTGACGACTTGTGGCGTCTCTTAATGGAGAGGTTTCAAAGTGCATTTAGTGCCATTCATATTTTTTGAGATGTCTTGCCTGGCGTTCGTGGTGGTGGTGGTGGTATGGGTGATAGTGGAGGTACTGGTATGATTGGTGTAGGCTGTAGTGATGGTGAAGAGGGATTACAGGGGTGGCTAGGATGATGATAGGGGCAGTGGGGGTGGTTAGTGATTGGATTGGTGATAGTGACGCTAGTTGTGATGTTGATAGTATGGGTAGTGTGGTGGTGGTGGTGGTGGTGGTATTTACGGGAATAGTGACTGATGATGTGGGTTTTATGATGGTAGTGATGGAGGAGATAGTGGTGGTGATGGTGGTGGTGGAGATGGTGGTGGTGTTGGAGATGGTGGTGGTGGAGATGGTGGTGGGGATGATGATGATCGTGTTGGCAATGGCATGGAATAAGCGCAAGCATTATCTAATGCACCAATAAAAAGTTTACAATGAAAACAATAGCAACTTCAACAATAATATTAAAAACAATAGCAGTCAACAGTGACAGTATAAACAGTATCAACGACAATACATAAAATAGCTGTTTAAAAATAATACCAAAAACAATAACTACTTCAACAAAAGCAAAAACAGTAGAAAGACTGACTCGTAGATAATTTCAGAAAGGATAAAAATTTTCACAGAAATAATTGTATTGATACTAAAAAAAAGTATAAAAACCTAAAGTTAAAAAAAAATTCACAATCTATCTCCCCAAAAATATTTCTCCCCAAAACCAAAAAATACTGAACGATAGAAGAGAAAAAAAATATATTTTTTACGGAACTACAGAGGAGAAAAAAAGAAAAAGCCTTTAGTCTGTCTTGATTTTAGTGTCAAAAGGAGAGTTAGACATGCGTGTGGCCGAGGCATTTTCTTGCCTTTTTTTTTCTTTGACATTTGACTATTTTTGAGCAAAGAGAATATTAGTAGCAAAAAAACATGCTCCTAGGTTAGTTGATCTCTTGGTAATGACAGACACCTCACGCCTGGGAAAATTATTTCTGAAGCCACCTCTTACACTGTTGTATTTCTGGTGTGTTGTACTTCTTCCAGTGTTTCCCGTTATAGGCAAAGCTAGAAGCCACGGCTAGAACAGTGGCTTCTAGCCGTGGAAGGGGGAGGGATTTGTCGTGTTTAGGGGGATGGGTTTGTCCTGTTAGGGAGGGGTTTGTAGTGTTAGTGGGGAGGGGTTTGTCATGTTAGTGGGGAAAGGTTCGTCGTTTTAGTGGAGAAAGGTAGGCTTCTGGTAACTACCTCTCCCCAGCTACTAAGAGAGGCCTGTTCAGGGCAGCTGTCTTGGCATGCTACCACCTTAGCTAATTGTTAGTGCTAGTAAGTTTAGCACTGGTCTAAGATTGTAGTTCAGATACTTCACTTAGACTAGTAACACTAGCGTCAGTAGCATTAGGTACATCCATTGTCTCGCCTCTGTAGATCCCAAAGTTACCTTTATACCTTTGATATACCTTTGATGAGTTCCGAGAATCTTTCTACGCATGAACGCCTGTCATTGGCCAGGCTCGTTTGGTGCTTGCCTGGTTAACGAGGCTGTTGCTGCTGGTGTCCTGCTCCACATATCCATCACAGCCTGGTTAATCTGGCACCTGGTGACGTGGCAACAGAAGTGCCAGTCTCAGGAGAGTTTTGATTCTCGGGTGCCTAGGCAGTCACGTTTTAGGTCATGGGTGGTGAGACATGTTCGGCCTACAGAGGTACAGAGGTGCGTGGTTATTCCGGTACTTAATTTATTACGAGACTGTAAACTCTCCGTAGGGTACACGCAGTGGCTCAGACGTGGTATTAATCTTGCATAAAGATTCTTTAAGACCGAGAAATTTCCACACATACCGTCAACCTCCGCGAGGTATCTCTACCGCCAACAGTGCTGGTAAGATAATATACACTTAAGAATTCCGGGTGAGTCGGTATTCATCTGAGCAATGTTAGAAAATTAAGCCATCAACGTGAACACTCGGGTATTTGTACATGAATGGTATACAGTACCGACAAGATGAAGAATTTGATACATGTGCAACATCTAGATATATTTAACTGTAGACGTTTCGCCATCCAGTGGCTTTATTAATATAATTTCAAGGGCGTAATGAGAAGATTGTATAACTAATATAAAAAAGACTAATTACATATAAACAAAGCAGTTTAGTTAGTCGAACCAAATGATTATTTT